AAAAAAAAAAAAAAAAAAAAAAAAACCTAAAAGCAATTAAACATCCTTTAAATGTAATTGTGACTGTTCTCTGGAACTTCATGAAATAGAGGCTAAAGCATTCCCTAGTCAAGAGAACTAGTAAAGAGCTGAGGAAAACTACTCAACTAAAAGGCTCAGATATTTACTGTTAGTCACCAGTTTGCAGAATGATGCCTCATAAATCATTTTATTTCTCTGGTTCGGTTTTCTCAATGTTTTAAAGGGATTGTGTTGGGTAAGCCTTAAAGCACCTTATGGCTTTGAAATTTTACTTCTGTCTACTTTGCTTGCACATACTGTCCATTTATATTATTAGTCCCGATGTCAATTAACACAATTTATCTTCAATCATTCATTCGCTCATTCATTCATCAATTCTTACTGAGTACACCCCATGCTTCAGACTGTGTATTAGATACTTGGGATACATCAGTGAATAAAACAGACAAAGATTACTGCCTCCTTGTGATGGTTAATTTTTTGTCAGCTTGAGTGGGCCATGGGTGCCCAGATCAAACATTATTTCTGGGTGTATTGCCAGAGTGTTTCTGGGTGAGATTAGCATTTGAATTGAAGGACTCAGTAAGCAGATAGCCTCGCCGTGTGGGTGGGTATCATTCCACCTGTTGAGGGCCTGAATAGAACAAAAGGCTAGGAAGGAGGAATTCCTCCCTTTTTTCCTGCCTCACTGCCTGAGGTGGAGATCTCCTCTCATATTCTTCTGCCCTGTGTTAGGCTGTTCTTGCCATTGGTATTCAAACATCCCTGAGACTGGCTAATTTATGTTTATATTTATTTATTTAGTTTATTAATTAATTAACTTATTTATATTATTTATTTATTTATTTTTGAGACAGGGGCTTGTTCTGTTGCCCGGGCTGGAGTACAGCGGTGCGATCTTGGCTCACTGCAGCTTTGAACTCCTGGACTCAAGTGATCCTCCCACCTCAGCCTCCTGAGTAGCTGGGATTACAGTCATGTGCCACCATACTCAACTAATTTTTGTATTTTTGTAGAGATGGGATTTTGTCATGTTGCCCAGGCTGGTCTCGAACTCCTGAGCTCAAGAGATCCACCCTCTTTGACTTCCTAAAGTGTTGGGGTTACAGACGTGAGCCACCATGCCCAGAGACTCAGTCATTTATAAAGAAAAAAGGTTTAATTAGCTCAGGGTTCTGCAGGTTGGCCAAGCATGGCACCAGCACCTGCTCAGCTTCTGGGGAGGCCTCTGGGAGTTTTTACTCACGGCAGAAGGCAAAGTGGGAGCAGACACTTCACACAGTGAAAGCAGGAGCAAGAGAGCAAGGGGGAAGATGCTACACACTTTTAAACAGCCAGCCCTCATGGGAAGCCACTCACTATTACTAGGATGGCGCAAGAGGATGGGTGCTAAAGCATTTATGAGAAATTCAACCCCATGATCCAATCACTCCCCCACCAGGCCCCACCTCCAACATTAGGATTACAATTCAACATGAGGCTTAGAGGGAACAGCATCTAAACAATATCATGCCCTCAGGCTGGGGCTTACGTCACTGACTCTCCTGGTTCTCGGGTCTTCAGACTTAATGGTATTATACCATCAGCTTTCCTGGATCTCCAGCTTGCAGAAAGTAGATCATGGTATTTCTCAATCTCCATAATCCCCTAAGTCAATTTCTCATAATAAATCTCCCTTAAAAATAATTCTATCAAAAAGATACCTCTCCTCATGTTTATTGCACTGATAACAATAGCAAAGATATGGGATTAAACCTAAGCATCCATCATTGGATGACTGGATAAAGAAAATGTGCTATGTATACACCATGGACCACTTGGCCCATACAAAGTAATGAAATCATGTCTTTTGCAGCAATACGGATGGAACTGGAGGCCATTATCCTAAGTGAACTAAATCAGAAATAGAAAGACAAATGAATGCTGGGCGTTCTCAATTACAGGTGAGAGCTAAACAATGGGTACAAATGAATATTCAGAGTGGAGTCATAGACATTAGAGACAATAACAGGTGGGAGAGTAGTTAGGGTTGAAATTACCTATTGGGTACAATGTTGACATCTTCCCAGACCCCCCAAGTTTACCTTCTTGAAGACAGAGATAGATAATAAATAACAAAATATAATAAATAAGAACATTTATGGCATATTAGCATGTACTATATAAAAAAGTTTCTTGGTAAGGAGGATCAGAAATACTAAGTTAAAAAGAAGATTGAAATTTAAATGATGTGGTAAGTCTAAACCTTATTAAGAAGGAGACATTGAGTAAGTACTTGAGGGAGATGAAAAAGAGTTGTCCACGCAGTGAAAAACGGCCAGTAGAATGACCTAGGGCAGGAACCCGTCTGTGTATTCCAGAAACAGCTGGAAGAATGGTGTGGTCAGAGGTCTTAGAGAGGGATACAAGAAAGAAGATCAAGAGGCTGGGGGAAAGACGTTTGGCTCTGTTAGCCATTGTAGGAGTTTTGGCTGTTGCTCTATATGAAATAGAAAGTCATTACAAGGTTTTGAGCCAATGAATGGTATGATCAATTACTGCAGTACTCTGGGTGAGAGATGATGGCGGCTTGGATCAAGGTGGTGGCAGTAGAAGTTTAAGGGATGCGATCAAATTCTGGGTGTATTTTGAAGATACAGCCAACAATATTTGCTGACAGTTTGGACGTGGATTATGACAGAAAGAGATTTGTCTTGAGTTATTGGAAAGCTGGAGTTCCAACAACTTTGAAGGGAAGGCGTGAGGTTTTGGAAGCACGATCAGGCATTAAGTTTGGGTTTTGACTTTGAGGTAGGGTTGCTGAGCAGAGAAGAGGTCTAGGTTAGAGATATAAATTTGTGACTCATCAGCTTACAGATGTTGTTCAAAGCCAAACAAACAAAGTAAAAGCGATCACCAAGGGAGCGTGTGCGATAGAGAAGAGGTCAAAGGGCTGAATCCCAGGCACTCCAGGATTAGGCGGAACCTACAAAGGAGACACACAAGGACTGATAGGGGAGGTAGAGGGGGAACCAAGAGATGTATATCTACATATTTCTCATTATTAAAGGAATTCAGATTTAAAATCATCACCACATTAACACTTTCAGCAATTGTGAATAAATTAAGTTTGCAAACTGAAGAAAAAGAACAGAATGAGGAATGATGCTGCAGAATTTATTTTACACATGGTGGCTTGAACACAGCCCAATAATAGAAATACTGCATCTACTAATGGGCTAGTTGAGGATTTTTCAGAGGAAATCATTCAAGTTTGCTTATATTTTGGGTAAGCAAATTCAGGCGTCAAAGTAGTTCTAGGCCCATTGAGAATTAGCCCATAAGCTGGATACTTGTATAAATTTACGATAACATTGCCACCCTCTCAGAGTCTTTTGAGGATGTCACCAAGGAGTGAAGGTGGGGTTTCTCTGCAGTGTCTGGTAACCTATGATGAGAAGCCAAATGGAGGGAATTGAGATGTTTTGCTCTCACTAGACTGTGCTTTCTTGGAAGGTAGAGGCTGTGTTTTAGTCACCTTTATGCCATGTAACTCTGGCATATTGTAAGCAGTTAGTAAACAGTTATTAAATGCATTACTAACTGATTATAAGTAATACTTGATTGCTTGTAACATGTCAGGCCTTAGGAATATAATGAAGACTAAAAAATACAATCAATTCATTTATTAAGCATTCGCTCTTCCCAACGACCCTGTGAAGTAGGGTTATATTCAATTATCTTACTCTAAAAATTAGGCTCCTTCTTTTTTTGTTTTTTTGAGATGGAGTCTCACTCTGTCACCCAGGCTGGAATGCAGTGGCATGATCTCGACTCATTGCAACCTCGATCTTCCAGGTTCAAGCAATTCTCCTGTCTCAGCCTCCAGAATAGTTGGGATTACAGGCACCCACCACCACACCTGGCTGATTTTTGTATTTTTAGTAGAGATGGGGTTTCACCATGTTGGCCAGGCTGGTCTCAAACTCCTGACCTCAGGTGACCCACCCACCTCAGCTTCCCAAAGTGCTGGGATTACAGGCGTGAGCCACTGTGCCCGGACCCTACAAAGTAGATCTTATTAACCCCTTGTTATAGGTGGAAAAAACTGAGGGTCAGTGAGATTAAGCTAATTTATCCAACGAATCAGGAGCAAATTTGAGATTTGAATGCAGAACTTTCTGATTCAAAGTCATGATACTATGTTGCCCTTCATTAAAATTAAATTTTGGACAATTATGTAGCAGAATTTAAAAATTGCAGTATAAAAACAGAGATTTATTAGTTTTGAGAGTACAATTGAGTGAGAGTACAATTTTATTTTCTCATTGCAAAGTATGTAAAGTAAGAAGTGAAAGTTATTCTTTTCTACTTCCACTCACTAGAGTTTATGTTAAGAGGTAATAAATAGTTCATGCCTGGGTGCGGTGGCTCGTGACTGTAATCTCAGCGCTTTGGAAGGCCGAGGTGAGTGGATCACGAGGTCAGAAGTTCGAGGCCAGTCTGGCCAACATGGTGAAACCTCCGTCTCTACTAAAAATATAAAGAATTAACCGGGTGTGGTGGCAGGCTCTACTTGGGAGGCTGAGACAGGAGAATTGCTTGAACTCGGGAAGCAGAGATTGTAGTGAGCTGAGACCACACCACCAGCCTGGGCAATAGAGTGAGACTTCATCTAAAAAAAAAAAAAAAAAAAAAAAAAGGCAATAGTTCATCGTACATATTTCCAGATTTTAAAAAATATTTTTACATTTTGTTTCTCTTCCTCTGTTTTGTATCTCTATAACTTATATTCTTTTTAGTTTTTATCGTTAGTTTTTTGTTTTTTTTTGAGATGGAGTCACTCTGTCACCTGGCTGGAGGGCAGTGATGCAATCTTGGCTCACTGCAATCTCTGCCTCCCAGGTTCAAGTGATTCTCCCGCCTCAGCCTCCCCTGTAGCTGAGACTACAGGTACATGCTACCACGCCCAGCTAATTTTTTTGTAGTTTTAGTAGAGACAGGGTTTCACCATGTTGGCCAGGATGGTCTCGATCTCTTGACTCATGATCCGCCCACCTCAGCCTCCCAAAGTGCTGGGATTACAGGCGTGAGCCACCATGCCCTGCCTTATTGTTAGTTTTTAAACAAAAATGTGACTGTACTAAAAGCATTTTTCTGTATGTTTTTTTTTTACACTAAAGATTGTGGAAATTTCCCCATATATATGTCTACTTTTTCTCTTTCTGCTCCTCCTCCGTCTTTCTTGAGACAGGGTCTCATTCTGTCACCCAGACTGGAGTACAGTGGTTCAATCATTCATGGCTCACTGCAGCCTCCACCTACTGGGCTCAAGTGATCCTCCCACGTCAGCCTCCTAAATAGCTGGAACTATAGGTGTGCACCACTGCTACCAACTCATTTTTAAATTTTTTGTAGAGACAGAGTTTCCTTCTGTTGCCCAGGCTGGTCTGGAAATCCTGGGCTCAAATGTTCCACCTGCTTTGGCCTCCCAAAATGCTGGGATTTCAGATGTGAGCCACTGCACCCAGCAGGTTGCCTTTTCAATCTGTTGATTGTGGTTTTTGATGCATAAGTCTTTAAGCTTGATATAGTTTATGTCATTTATTTATAGGTATTTGTATGTACTATTGTTTATTCTTACTTTTGGTTGCATGTGAAGAAGTCATTGCCAAGTCCAATGTTATAATGCTTTTCTTATGTTTTATTCCAGAAATTTATATTTTTGAGTCTTACATTTAGATCTTTAACCATTTTGAATTAATTTATGTATATAGTGTGTTATAGACTGAATGTTGCTGTCCCCCTCAGCCCCAAATTCATATGCTAAAGCCTTAACTCCCAGTGTTTGTTTGGAGATGGAAGCTCTAAGGAAGTCATTGAGGTTCAATGAGGTCATAAGGATGGGGCTCTGGTCCAATAGAATTAGTGTCCTTATAAGGTAAGACACCAGAGATCTTGCTCTTTCTCCCTGCATTTACACTAAGAAGAAATCATATCAGCCGGGCGCGGTGGCTCACGTCTGTAATCCCAGCACTTTGGGAGGCCGAGGTGGGTGGATCATGAGGTCAAGAGATCGAGACCATCCTGGTCAACATGGTGAAACCCCGTGTCTACTAAAACTACAAAAAATTAGCTGGGCATGGTGGCAAGTGCCTGTAATCCCAGCTACTCAGGAGGCTGAGGCAGGAGAATTGCCTGAACCTAGGAGGCGGAGGTTGCGGTGAGCCGAGATCGCGCCATTGCACTCCAGCCTGGGTAACAAGAGTG